AAGGGTGCATATACAATTTTTTAAAAGTTAAGAGGTGTTGAACATTTTTTTTTCAATAAAAAATACGACTTTCGATTTGGATGTGGGTATACAATGAAGATTTTTATGAGTTTTCATACATTTTTTTTGAACAAATAAATCAAGAGTATTTTCATGACAGAATTTAAACAATAATATCTAATATGGAATAATATTCATTTAAATAAAATCTTTTATAAACTTCATTTTATCTTTTCAAGTAACAGACCTTCCAAACTATTTTCTTGTTGAATTATATTCAGTCAATGAATTCGATACTCGAAAAATAAAACAATATTCTATAATTAGTTCGACAAAGACCATTATTTTGTTATGTTTTAAAAATATAATTTCGTACAACTATTTTCATATTAGGATCGCATTCAGTTGTTGGTATTTAATTCTCAAGACCAACAAATTTAAATAAAATTTTATCATGAATAGTTTATGCTATATTAAAGAAATTTGTGATGAAGGAATTTTTTTCCAGTTGAACTTGGTTCATCAGCTACATCAAATATTAACATAGCATTATTCGTCAAACTAAGTGTACAAAAAAATTAGTTAGAACCAGTAAAGATTTTATTTGTTAGTTAATCAACAATATGTTCGAACGATACTTGAGTATAACGATGATAAATATTTGAGTGACCTTTTATACATTGATTGAAATCAATGTTTATGAGAAAAATAAAGTTCGTTGAAAATAAAACGTTGAATTGACTAACTAGTGAATGTAGTTGTTCACAAGGTTTTTTTTCCTTCCTTGTTTTTCAACGTAGATAACAAAAATTGTCATTTTCTGTCGCGATGATCGCAAGAAATGAAAGTCAGAAAATACTAGTTCTAATACGAAAATAAAATCGCACGACTAAATCGATAGTATCCATGTTCTTACAGAAAACCACTCAATAAGGCAAGTTTTTGTGGACTTTGTCTTTTTTTGCAAGTTTTGAGATTATTAAAACGAAGACAGCAACAAAATTTTGTCGAAACTCTCTTTGCTTATAGCTACGACAGCTGATGATAGATAATCATAGAGAGAACCTAGTGGTCAATCGAATGTATTTTTTGAAACTATGTTTCCATCCGGCCATAGAGTTATCTTACTAATGCATTTCGAAATGACTACATTACATTTTCTTTCTGACTTCGATCATGTGATTGATTGAAACGTAACTTTTCCGATTGACAGCGACAAAAAAGAAGCCCTGTTTCTAGTATAACATGGTTAACTTTTGGAGAAAAGAGTTTCATATTCAATGTTCCAAATAGAAACTCGAATGCCATCTAGTTTTATTACAAAGAGCATGTCAGACCATAATGTCTTTTTTTCTTAATTTTTACTTTTTATGTGGAGAACAAGAATGACAAGTTCAATAACTCGAAAAATGGTCATCTATTTAGAAGTGCTTCCTTTTATATCATAATGAAAAAGCTTAATTCAAAAACAAGAAAAAAAAGTAATTAGCTACAGTGAAGCTCCTTCGAGAATTGTAAGATACGTGATCATAAAAGCATAAACCGAGAAAAGATAAACCGGTTTTTTTTCTGAAAAAACAAGATACAAAATAAAAAAACATCATTTATGAAAGATCACGCCTCGGGCTATCTTCTCATACATGCATCTAAATTTCGATCTTTCTGACGAAAATTGACTTTTTTTTGGGAGAAGGGGGAGGGAATGTTGAAATGAAACAGATCATAATCAAAAGGATTCAACATAGATTTCAATAGCCTTTAACTTTTCCAAAGAGTATATATATATATATATATCAATATTTCATTCCTCCATACCTTAGAAAAAAGAAAACATTTATTTGTTTTGTGTTCAAAAAAAGTCTCAGACGGTAATAGAAGTATATGCGTAAAGAAAAAAAAACACGACTACCAAACTGTACAAATGTATGATCTGCTAATCAAAAAAAAGCACTACACGCTCAAAAATAACTCGATGAGTTCAAAGGGAAAAAAATACAATATAAACAGAAAAAAAAAACAACCAAAAGAACGATGACATAAACAAGAATTGATTATTCGACAATTATTTAAAAAACAAATAATACAAGCGTAATACAAACAGAAAACTAATATAGAATAAAATGTAACAATAAACAGACCAAAAAAAAAAAATCAAATCAATTTGTATGATATATAAATGAAAAAAGAAAAACAGTGTCATAATTTCATTGTTTATTTTAACAGATATATAGATGACGAGATTCAAAAGAAAGACAACATGCGAGCATGAATACACGTTGAAAATTGCACACAAAAAGAAAAAAAAATACATATCCAACATGTATCATTGACTTCTTTTTATTTTTTGTTTTTTTTTTGTTTTTGAATTAGTCTTCATTTCTTGACTCGAGAACGGACTTTACGTGCAGGTTTGTCTAGATGACGGACGAAAAATATTATAAAATAAATAAAGAAATTTTTAATTATCTTTCACCTTGTTGAGGACTGTCACTGTCTCGACGCATACCACCGACACCTTGTGCCGCTTGATTGGCTAATTTAGATGCATATAAATTAGCTTCTTCTTGAGCTTTGCCAATATTTTTCTTATATCGAATACGTTTATTACCAAACCAATTACTAACCTTAACAAAAGTAAAAAAAAAAAAGAAATGATTTACATCATCTTTTCTAAAGCCATATGAAACATCAAAGCGATTTTTTGTTATTGAAACTTTTTTTTGTATAGATAATGAAGAATTCGAGAAGAATACGCAAGATTAATAAAAACATTCTTATAGACTTGTCTAGTACATCATTAATAATTGGCTTCTTATCCTAGAGGATAATAGATTGAACCGATTCAAACTTTCAAACGAGTATTCTTTTTTAAGAACCTATTAAACTTCCCGAATCAAGAAGATTACTTCATATATCTTCTGTTCGAGCTCATATTGAGTCTCAGCAGGAAGTCTCGGTGAGAGTAGCAAAAACTTAAACGGGTTCGTTCCCATGGGTCTTTCGCATCGAGTTATAACCAGTTGATTAGGTTTTCGACTTATTCGTAGGTAACGCGTGTAAAATCAAATCACGAACTTTCCATTTAAAAATTAAAATATTGAATTTTCAAAAATAGACCTTTGTCAAGGATATGTCACAAAAATCCAATATCTTATCGAAGAAACATTCGTTTCGACTAAAACTTTCAGAATATCCTAAAAGTCAATATACGTATCTATGAACAAAATTTTCAATCAAAACTTTGTTATTTGAGTTTTCCCGCAGTACCTACAAATGAGTCGAAAATCCAATAAGCTAGTCATAAGTTGTCGCCAAAGACTTATGAAGAGGAATTCATTTAGGATAATCTCACTAAGACTTCATTCTGAGTCTCATGTGAGTTCAAATGTTGGGTGTCAGCTGGGAATATTTCCCTCGTTAGTCTCAATGATTTATTTTCTATAAAACTCGCATTATCTTCTAATAGTAATTTGTTTTTTGTGAATATGTCATTATGAATACTATTTTTTATCTCTTACTTGTGATACACTAATACTACATTTTCTAGCAAGTTCTTCTTTTGCTTCTTCACTTGGATATGGATTTGATAGATGTGAATAAAAATATTCATTAAGAACTTCAGTAGCTGTTTTACTAAAATTACGACGTTTTCGTCTATGAAAAAAAAACAATAATCGAAATTTCTATAAAAATCTTCATTAATTAATAGAATTATTTACCGAGCATCAAGAAAACGTGAACGAAGTATCATAACAGCTTCACATGTACTTTGTTTAAGTTGTAATTGTATAGATGAAAATTTTTTTCGAATAATCATTACCATACGATCAATTTCTCTTGGTGAAATAGGTCTTGCACGACTTTGTTCTCGTAATAAATTAATAACATGACTGGTAAAATCATTACATGCTTGTTCCTATTAATAAACCAAAAAAAAACAAATATTTCATATTACATTTCTTGTTTTATCTAACATACATATTTTTCTAATTCACTATGATAAAGTTGTCGAATTTGTGATAATTTTGCACGATAATCACCATGTTCAAGTGCCGAATCATCATTTATACTTGCAGCTGCATTAGCACTTGCAGCTGATGATGATGATCCACCTGTTCTTTCTGGTCCAGCAATACCTTTAATAAAAACAAAAAGAAAAAATAATTCAAATTAAATTTAAAATAGATAAATAATTTCTACCTTCAGCTATTAACATATTATCAAGACGCATTAATTGTGAATCAGGTGGTTCATCTTCTGGTAAATTTCGAATATTAATCGCTGTATATTTAAGAAACAATAAAAAGAAAGTGTAAACATTAATAAAAAAAAATAAAATAGTTTTTCGATGAACCTGTTTTTTCTTTAATTTCACAAAGTACTTGAAAAAATGCTGGTTTAAGACGACTTTGATTAAATGCATGTTTCCTAAAAAAATCAAAGTAGAAAGCTTTTTTTTTGTTGTTATATTGAGTTGAACACAAACCGAGCTTGAGCTTCATCAAGACTTTGATCAACAATTGACATTATTTGTTGAAGCATTCCATTTACATCATTAAATGGTTTATTTTCATTAATACTTGTATCATATAGATTATATTTTACATCTGATGATGACAAGGCTAATGGTGGGGGTGGAGGTGGTGCTCCTAGTGGCATCATTGAACTATAATGAGATGGTGGTGGAGGTGGTACACCCTGACCATAACCTGGATCTTGACCATCCATTATCTTAATATTAATATGTCGGACACGGACAATCAATCAAACAAGCATACACTACAAGTCTGACCTATTGACTTATTAGTTTTTTTTTCTTTCCATTCCATTTTTTATCTTAAAGTAACAAAGAAATAAATAAAATATTTTCATTGGTTCGTTATATCTGCATTAGTGTGTTATTAGTGAACAACAAAAAAAAAGTATTCTAGTTATTTTAATGACATTGATTTATTATATGTGCATAGTATTTTTAGTTATAGATTTACTCATCTGTGACAATGAACGGTTCATATAATGGATGTAATTTTGTTGTTCGTCTTCGTGGTTTACCATGGTCTACAACTCAAAGTGAAATACTAAATTTTCTTCAAGGTAAAACAAGAAAAAAAAATTGATTTTCATTTTTTTTTAAATAACTTCATATAAATTTAGGTTGTAAAATTCGACGAATACACTTTATAACAAATGATCAAGGTAGATCAACTGGTGAATGTTTTGTAGTTGTTGAAACGAAAGAAGATATTGATCTAGCAAGAAGTTATGATAAAAACATGCTAGGAACTCGTAAATAGAATTTCATAATAACTTATAAATTATATTGATGTTTCTCTGTTGTTTTTTTTTTTTTTTTATAAAGGTTATATTGAAGTATTTGAATCCAGTCATGCAGCAATGTCTGATATAATGAAAAATCATAATAATGATTTATCAAATTCCCAAAATAATTCATCAAATAATGATAATTGGAGAGAACCTGTTGTTCGTTTACGTGGTCTACCTTATCATTCTACCAAAAGTGATGTTATGAAATTTTTCAATGGTACGCACAAATCGATAAATAAAGGGAAAAATGGATAAAAGCGAGAAAGGGATTTGATTATTTTAAGTTTGGATGTCTCCTTTCCGTTTTTTAAGGAGGAAACTGATTACTTTTTTGTGTATTTTTTGGGATTGAATCACCTTATAGGACTCGACATAGCTCAGAATGGTGTACACATCTCCTCGAGCAAACCGGCAGGCGAGGCTTTCGTCGCTTTTGTGAACATGGACAATGCCCTACGAGCTTTGGAATTCAACCGCATGAATATGGGGCATCGGTACGGTAAACAGTCCGTCAAGAATCTCTTTCCACTGATATTTCCTCTTTTTATTTTTATTTTTGAAAAACAAAACATCTTCTCTTTATAAAATAATCAAATAAAAAAAAAAAAATTTTTTTTTCTAATTTTTGTCTTTCAAATTAAAGTAATTCTATATTCCCTATAATGTTCTGAATATTTTTTTTTCTGCATTAAATCCCTTATGAAATAATCGTTTTTCTTGTATTATATTTTTGTATTTGTTATTCAAATAGTTATATCGAAATATTTAAATCAACTTATGCTGAAGCACGTACATCAATTATTAATGATACACAATTAATGGTACGACAAAAAACTAATGCTGCACTTCAACCACAAGGAAGTTCTATGAATAATACTGGTAGTAATTGCAATAATGATATGAATCAATATAGTAATGATCCATCATCTCAAAATAATTATAATTCCGATGATAGAAATGTAAATAATTATACGATGGGTAATAATGAAAGTGGATCACTTAAAAGTAATAAAATTGAGATTTAAAAGATTGAGGAAAATGATATATGTTAATTCTAGGACCAATGCCATCATCGTTTACAATGAAATTACGTGGTGTACCATTTGAAGCTGGTAAAAAAGAAATTTATGATGTAAGATTGTTTATTGTCAAGTAAATTAATCAAGTTTTCATGTTTTTGTCTTCTAGTTCTTCAGTCCTCTTATACCAATTCGAGTTGAACAAGAAAATACAATACGTGGTAGACCACCAATATGGTATGTTGAATTTGGTTCGCGTGAAGAAGCAACTGAAGCCATGGGGTAAATATTTCTTCTTTTCGGTTTTTTGTTTAACTTGAAATAAAAAAGAAATTTTGATTATTTTAGATTTCATAAAAAATATATGGGAACACGATATATTGAATTATTTCCATTATTTGATGATAATGATCGATCTAAAATGATTCGTAGTTAAGCAAGAAAAAAAAAGTTTAGTTTTCATATTGGACACATTTTATATAGACTGCTTTTGTATTTGCTTTATTTTTTTTTCTTTTGTTCTTTATTTATTACGAAACAGAAAAGTTTTACAAGTAATGAAAAATTTCATTTGATTGAATTATTGTTTGTTAATTTCAAAAAAAAAACAAGTTTACAAAAGAATTGCAGGTTAGAATTATAACAAAAAAAAATACAGAAATTCTGACAATTGGCATGTTTTCTATTTTTGCATATGCTTTTTGTTTTTAATGTGTATATGTCTTATTGTCGTTATATATATATATATATATATATTCATACAAAAGAAAACAATTAATAAAAATATGAATATTTAATCTGATTAATAATTAATCTATTATACAATAGAGAAAATATTTTCCAGATAATAATAATAATTAATTGTTCAAGATGAAAATTATCTTTCAACGAGTAAACTTGCTTAACTATATGCAAACTTCATTATTATTTTATTCTGATATTAAGTAACAATAAATTTTTATTTGGGGCATATAAAAATAAAAATATTCAACTATTGTTCATGGTAGAATTAAAGAGGGTGAGTGTAATCTCAATAGTTCAACAATGGCAATAGTTAAGGACCCGCGGCTTTCAACAATTGAAAGAGAAGAACTCTGGATATCTTTTTGTTTGATACTGTATAAGACAAAATTCTTTTAAAATCCATCATCTTTGCAAAATATTGAAAAAGAAAGTATAAAAAAACGGTGTTTCGGTTCAATGTAATCTTGATTTTGACATATGTCTGAAATAGTGATACTATGGATCAATAGTATGATTCAGATGATTATCTTCTCATATCTCAATATTCAACAAACAACATTGCAGGTGTCTATTCGATCAAATAATATAGAATTCAGTTGATTTTTAACAAATTCTATGACTTTTCATCAAAATTTCCTTGAAACAAATCATTGTTTTTATGTATTTTGTTTTGAATAGTTTGCAAAGATGATGAGTTTCAAAAGAATTTTATTTTTAATAGTGTCAAATAAAAAGGTGTTCAGACTTCGATACTGAAAAATCATAGGTTTCTATCTATTATCATTGTCGAGTTATTGAGTTTATATCTATCTCTCTTTAATTCTCACACGGACATTATTTCAAATAAAAACATAATCAAATGCAGCACTTTTTTACGATCGTTCGGCTATAGACAAATCAAATCTGAAAATCTCTTCATAGAATCTTTTAAGAATTTGATTTGAAATAAATAATATATCTTGTTTTTTAATACAAGACATATGAATATTGAATTTATTTTTCGATAATTTTATACATTAGTTTACACATAATTGACTTGGAATAATAATGAGAAATTTCATTGATCAATCATTTGCAAAATATGTATTGTTCAATCTGATGAATAATCAAATACTTACTAATCATATATTTACGTAAGTCTGTCTGGGCAATTTTGTTTTATGTTGCTGTTGTTTAATATTTAAATAATTCACTTGAGAACCAAGTGTTTTTTTTTTCTTTTTTGTTTTATATTACTTGAAATATCAAGTAGATAATGACTTCAATGAATTCTTTAAAAAAATGGAAGCTAAATGGAATGTCTAATTGCTTTTAAAAGGTCATCTATGTTCCCCGATGCCCTTGTATATGTATATATATATATATTGAACGCTAATGAACTATTTCTTTGTTGAAAGTTATTTACCGACCGATCAAACAAATCTGCTGTTGTCCATCATCATAAACTGCTCAATATTACAAAGCAAAGAATAATAGAAGAAAGAAAAAGAAAATGGATAAGATGAACATTATTGTTAGTATACCTCGAGGAAAGATAAATAATGCTTACTTAGCATCGTCAAGGATAAAAAGATATATATATATACATATTCTTGTGTGATTATGAACCCAGAAGGCCTGTATTCTATCACCTATTGTCTGTTTATCACGAAATCTACGTATATATACATATATCTATCCTTGATATTGATGGACTAAAAATGCTTCTTACAATGCATGATTGATAGACTTCTATGACTTGCCATAATAGTGACGTTCATAAAACGACATTTCATCAATTTTCTAATAACAAATTCTATCGTCAACATATATGTACATATTCTTTTATCTATTTATAAATGAGAACAAATGATACAATGAGAGATGAGCACCTCCTGCTGTTGCCTCACATTATAGGCAATGTCTGAATATGTAAGTATATGATTTTTATTATTACATCATGGTCTCTTCTTAATGTATATACGTTATGAATTTGTTGAGCAATGAACCAAGTCAACCATTTATTCATCCGATAACCAACAAATAGCAAAAAATCATCATAGTTATTAACTATTCGCATGTATACTTGTGTGTGTAATTTCTCCACCCTTCTTTTTTTGTCTTTTCTGTCTAATGAAAGAATGGTTCGATTAGGAATAAATAAAGAGAAAAAAAAACAAAAAGAAAGACTTGACCCGTATGTACACCAATACAATCTAATCGATTTATTGTACATTGTCTTATACTCCATTTGCTAAACAATAGTAATAGTTATGTGTCTATGAATGACAGAATTTTTACAAGTAATAATGATGGTTGAAGATCGAAGTAAACTGTATATATGCCATAACGATAAGAATAAGGATATCATATCTTTTTATTCCATTACTTTTTTTTTTTTTGTATTTATGGCAGTTTTATACGATATTTACTAATCAGTGTCTGTTAAGGAAGGGGAAAGAAAGAAAAAGTGAAGATGAAGAACGAATAGCAGATTTATTGTAGTGTGAGACGGCTTAGAGAACGATTAGTCGAGAAAAAAAAATAAGAGAAGATGGTGACCTGTATACGATCACGTCATCTTCATTTTGGCTACCGATGGTCGGCTTTTTCTTTCTTTCTCTCTCTCTTTCGCTCTCTTTCTCTCTGCTTCTCTCTGTCTATATTTTTTTATCGACTTTGGTTTTATTATTATCGCTACCATCACCTAACCATTTTGATTTATTTACCCACCCGTCGTGAAAATTAATCATCCTTACTTTTGTCAACATTGATCAAGCAGTAAAATAGCTCAACACCTTTCTACATGACTATAGCAGGTAGTTATTTATACTAACATTAATGTCTATTTGAACAAAGATGAATCTTATTGATTTATTCTATTCAATGTATATATATATATATTTTTTTTTTTTTTTTTGTTTAGATCGAATACATGATATGAATGATGTTGTAGGTAAAAACTCAGCTACTGATACTTCATCTGTAGCTGATTTTAATGCTAGTGATGAAGACAGGTAGATAATTGAAATATTGAAAGAAAAAAAGATATAATTAATTTATTTCTGATGAATTCTTTTCTTTTTTTTTTAATAGTTGGCTTTTTGAAGATTTTAGCCGTGATGATGCTATTAATACATTACAAAATCAATCGGATGGTACATTTCTTGTACGTCCTAGTGGAACTATAAAAGGCGATCTTGTCCTTTGTGTTAAGTATATATATGATAAATTATTATTTTTTTCTATATTGAATTATAATTATTTATATATGATAGAGAGGGTTCAAAAGTAAGCCATTATATAATCAATATAACTCAAGAATTATCTCAATCTATATATAAAATTGGTGATAAAACATTTTCAAGTATGAAAGAACTTTTAACATTTTATAAACAACGTTTACTTGATACATCACCACTTGTTCGAATTGTAAGTTGTTTATTTAATTAATAAAAAACGAAACAAATTTTTTTATCAAGTATTCATTTTTAATAGTATCCTAAATTACGTGTACGAACGAAATATAAATTTGATGGAAAAGTAAAAATTTTGTTGTCTTTTTTTTTGTTATTTAAATAAATTGATTAATGTTTTTTTTAAAAATAGGATGAAGAAGATTTACCATTTAAAAAAGGACAAATTTTAATGATTATTAAAAAAGCAGAACCACTATGGTGGCTTGCAAGAAATAGCACGGGAGATAAAGGTATGATTCCAGCTAATTATGTGGAATATATTCGGTAAGCAAATTAATTATTGTTATTTATTTTTTTTTTTTTTGTAAATATATTTTATTATCTATTTTAGAGATAATGTTTGATTACTTGTTTTATTAATCTTCATTTTTTTGTTTTTTGACAAGAAATAAATCATACAGTGACATTTGTATATATCTATATATATATATATATATATGATTTTAATAAATATCATGTAGTGTAGCTTATTGCTATACATTGATTTTTTTTTTCTTATTACAATGGTATAAAGCAATTTATCTTCAAAAATTGAAAAATTATCTTTCCAATATAGAATTTCAATTTTTCAAATGATAAGATATGTTATTTGTTATAAAGCAAAGAGAACGATTGATTGTTTAATCTATTGTTACAAATAGACTTTTTTTGTATGATGATATGCTTTACTATTAACAAATTTCTAATGATAAGATCTTGTCAATAGGGATTTGAGCTAATGTTAATTAATGAAGCGTTTGACATTCTAGAGAAGGACGTTTGAATATGTATATATATATATATATATATACATACGTAATTGAAATAGCAGAATATGATGATCTAAGATCGACAGATGTAAGAAGAATAATGCTTTTGCCCTCTAGAGATTTTTGACTTATATACTGATCCACTATCAATATAATTCAACAACTGTCAGTAACAAAAGTATGAAGTGGTTAACCACTTAGTCAAAATCCCTGTTGGATTAAAGTAAGAGGAGAATTATTATAAAAAGTGTATTATTCAATAAGTTTTGGAATTTGTGCCATTATAATTTATTTTTATGAAATTCTTCAGTTATGATTAATATATGTACACATCTAATTTCATCATATAATAAACACTTGTATATCTCAAATCTACATACTTTTCGAATTTATTTTACAAGGAACTACCTAAAGTGATACTTGTCGTTTGTGCTCATATTAGCTTCACAAGGACGTCTCGAGTCGAGTTATAACTGTTTTACTGAATTTTCGATCCAGCTTTAGATATTTACCAAAAAATCAAATAACGAAGCTTCGATCTAAAATTTTGCCTATCGATAGGTCTGATGATTCTGAGAATATTCTGAAAATTTCAATCGTAAAGAATGTTTCTTTGTCGAGATATAGAATTTCCAAGTAAACTCGATTTTTGTGACCAACGACCATTTTTAGAAAATTCAATATCTCAATCAAAAAACATTATTTTCAGCTGAAATTTTCAGTATATTCTCAGAATCATCAGACCTATCTTGAGTAAACATTCACATCGAAATCCATTATTTGATTTCTCGATAAATACCAAAAACTCAATCGAAAATTCAATAAAACAGTCATAACTGGCCTCCAGATGCTTGTGAGGAGAGGCCCTTTAACGATTTGTATAGTCTTACCAAGACTTCCGTTGTGAAACCAATATGAGCTGAAACAGCAGATATCAGTATGAATAGTATTCTCGTCAACAAAAGAATACTTATTCATTTTTATTAGATTTATTAAAAGCCCGCAGAGAGCGAGCAGAGAAAAAATTAGTCTTCAAGACTCATTGAATTATTCCGAAACACAGAAATCTTTAGTAAAAGGCGAAAGATTTTCTTGTGATTGTTCCGGAATCAGAGTTAAATTTTTCCATGCTATGCTTATCATTTATAAAGCGAGAACGCACGCAAAAATTGCATAGTAAACATTCATTCATATATATACGTATATGTATCGATGACTCATTCTTTTCTTTATTTTTAATAGGTCGATTGACTTCGTAACATATCATCGTGTACATTAATCTCATTGGAAAAGTCAGGTCGTGAAAAGAATAATAAACCTTGTTGAATAGGATGATACTGTTGATCAATTTGCATATTTTGTCTAGCACGTCTATATAAAAGATATTTTATTCTATCATTCATTAACATAAATCCTAATTCATATAGTTCAATTGAATGATAGATATTCGATGTCCATGATAAAATAACATTTGTACTTATCCAACAAACAACTGTTAATGTACTAAAAATGATAATATCAATTGGAAATAATCGATAATTAATCGACATTGAACAAATACGAAAAGAAAAAGAATTATGAAATTAAATTTCTATAGTAACAAATTCATTTTATTTTATTTTCCTGAGCTTTTGTTTTTTTCTTTAGCTGTAAATATCAGACAAACACACATATTAAGAATAATGTAATCAAATATTGCAAATACTAATGATTAATACAGGAAAAAAAATGTACAAGAACAATAAAAAGAAAAAAGAAAACATTGATTTTTATGGTGTAACTAATTGTTGCTTTTCAGCTAATTGACCTTGCATTTTTGCAAGCATATCTTGCATTCGTCGAAGCTAAAATAAAAGAAATTTGATTTAAAAGAAATTTAACAAAAAAAAAAAAACACAATATTTACTTCATCATCTTTTTCTTTAATTAATTTTTTTTGTTGTTCATCAGCATCAATTTCATTTGTACGTAATTGTTTATTTTTTGGTTGAAGTTTTTCTGAACGATAATTTTCATAATGAATTTCATGTGTTACTTCTTGTAAATCTTGCATATGTGTTCTAAATAAGTAGAAAAAAAAAATTTCATAGAAATAAATTTATTTATTTCTAAAATGTATACATAAGCATTGTTCGTAGTTTAATAAAATCACAATGATCAGAATTTTCAACTTCAACTAAACCCCATGGATACATTCGACCACGAATTTTTTTTCCTTTAACTTCCAATGTTTGTGTTGATGATATAACTGCAAATGGTACAGCATTTTTTAATTGACGATTTTGTTCTTTAAATTCTTCATCTTCATCTGAATCACAATCAGGTATTTGATATATTTGTATATTATGGTCACGAATTTGTTCAAGAATCTAAATTTTATATTAAAAATAACAAAAAAAAAACGATTCGTAATTTATTTCTACATAGAGATGTAAATCAATGCATTGATCGGTGGTAGCGGCTACAAAAGTATTAGGTTCCGACAACTACAACAGTCTTAGACTCTGATGGCTTCAACAGTTTGAGACTTCGGTGGCGGCTGAAATTTTTCGTTGTATTGTTTAACGATTTTCTTAATTTCGAGAAGTTTTGAAATAAAAACGAGAGAAAACGATGATAGAGAACTAATTGCCAAGAAACTACATGGAAAGATCTTCAAAAGCTGATTTGTACGTCGGAAATCTTCAGCAACTATTTAGGACAATGGCGACGACTCAGCTTACACCTCTATTTTTTACATACAGTTTTTTTCATTTGAATAAGTTCATCAGGTGTTAATGCATCAGATTTAGCAATTATTGGTACAATATTAACTTTATGATGTAATTCTTTCATACATTCGATATCTAATGGTTTGAGACTATAAAAAAAAAAAGAAATGAATTTATTTGAATGAGAAAGAAATAATTTTGAAATAACAAACCCTCGAGTAAATGGTGATATAAAATAGAAAAGACAATGAACGCGATTATCAGATATATTTCGACGATTAAGACCACTTTCGTCGTTTAAATAACGTTCAAATTGATTATCAATATAATTTAATATTGGTTTATAACAATCAGTTGTATTTATACTATCACCATAACCAGGTGTATCAACAACAGTTAAACGTACTTTAACACCACGTTCTTCAATTTCAACAGTTGATGCTTCAATTTTAACTGATTGACGAATTTTTTCTGTATTCAAAAACAAAAAAAAAGAGAAAAAAATAATAAATCAAATTAAAGATAAATAAAAACCTTGAGCAGTAGGCATATGACGTTCTGGATAAAGATCTGTTAAAAATAGACTATTAATTAATGTTGCTTTACCAAGACCATTTTCACCTAGTAAAAAAAACAACAATCAATATCGATGAATATAAATTATAGAATGATTTTAATATACCAACAACCATAAGTGTAAATTCGAAACCACGTTTAGCTATTTTTCGATGAACTTGATTTGGTAAATTAGCAAAACCAACAAAACTTGATGTTGTGTCTGAATTTGCATATTGATTACCCTATTTAAATATTTTTCAATTAATTATTATTGTCAAGATAACTGATAGATATTGAAGAAATTAATTCGATTTCTAATGAATATTCACAATGATGCGAATTTTATTAAGAAGGCAAAACTAAGTCAGCGTTGTACCTAAGATCCTGAGCGTATATTAGTGAAATATGAATAACTTTTAGTTTTAGGACTGTCTTCTTGTATAATTCATTCAAGTGACTGTTTAGATTGAAATATATTATTTATCAAAATCTTGATATAGAAGTTGATCCGATCGTCTTCTGGTTCTCAAAGTTTTATTGCTCATTAATAGACGTAGGTCGCTCATCATGTTCTTTTAGAAGCTGAGATCCGCCACTGATTGAATACTAACTAATTTATTCATTAAACTTACATTAGTATCTTTTTGTTGCGATCGTGTACCAGCCGTTGTAGTCATTTTATATTGTTAGAACTCTGTAAAATGGCACTATCAATCAATTGATCGATTATTGTTTATTTCTATACTGTGATTTAATCCAATCAACAACTAATGAATCATAGACAAATGAAGAAAATATATATATATATTAAAGAATAAAAATAAAAAAAATAAAACATTTTTTTTTCTTTTATTTTATTTGAATTTTTTTTTCGATTAGATATTTATATCTTTTTATTTCATTGGTTTATTTTTAACCAATGAAAAATTAAGTTCAAGTGTATATGTCAACAAAATATATCGTAATGGCATCAGTAGATCAACTGACTGGATTCACTAGTCACAAATTAATGATAAAAAAAAATGTTTACTTTGTTTTCTTTTTTTTTAGATGTATGTTTTTGTCAAGATAATTATTATTCTCTCTTGGAGATAACAAATACAGGTAGCTAATAGGTAAGAAAAACTACAGTTGAAGATTCTATCTAAGAGGGAAAAAAATAGTATTGCGGATTTTTTTTTATCTTGATAATAGATTATAAAATATTCAAGGCAATGCGACTAACGAGTGTGCCATATTAAAAAAAACCGATTAGATATATTCATTCTATTTGAATCAAATGAAATATGTTCAAAGGTTTTATTCATTAAAGAAACGTTAATAAATATTGCATTAGAAGTAAATTTTAGAATTCCAGAATATATTTTCTCGAAAATTCTAGACGATAACTTTTATTTCTTTCAGTCAATTATACGACCTTAATGCAGTATTTTGTTAATGTTTTTCTTATAAAAAAAACAATTTTGAGCATTTTTCTATTATTAAAAAGCATATTCCATTTGATTCAAATAAAGTGAATCTAACAAATTCTGTTTATCGTGATGCACCGATGGGTTACATCGCCTCGAATATGATATAAATATATTCAAGATAAATTTATTAGAGTATTATGAATTTATTATTATTATTATTTTTTTTCTAGCTAAATCATGCAACAACAACGTCGACGTCCACCTGTTCCAGCGTCACCTATAACTTTAAATAATAATTCTAGTCGACCTATACGTCAAACAAGTCGAAAGTAAATCTAACTAAGATTATAAGAATTTTTCTATATATCATTTTTAATATAATTTTTTGTTTTTGTTAAGTATGTCAATGACAGTGAGTCCATGTTCTGGTTGTTCTCAACCGATGTATAATCCACTTTTATCAAATGTTCTTGATCGCTTATGGCATCCTGATTGTGTTCGATGTTTTGTATGTCGATGTATACTTAATGAACAATGTTATTCACGTGAAGGAAAACTTTATTGTAAAGATGATTTTATTAAGTAAGATAGAATGAATATTTTCTTAATAAAAAAAAAAAAAAAAAGAAAATTTTTCATTTTAGAAAATATATTCATCGTTGTTTTTCATGTCAAAATTTAATTCAATCACATGAATTAATTCGTCGTGTTCGAATAGATCGAATTTATCATGCTGATTGTTTTATTTGTATGAAATGTAAACGTATATTACAAGATGATGATATAACATCATTAATGCCATCAGATGGTTTACCATTGAATGATATGGATTATTTATGTCAAACATGTTCAAAATCAATTAAATCTTCTACTGGAACAACTTCATCATCAAATGCCGATGAAGGTTTATTCTATTCCAAATAAAAAACAACAAAAGAAATATGTTTTTTTTCTAAAATTTTTCTTCTTTCTTTTGTAGAAGAAACAACGGATAGTGAAATTTCAAATACAACAAATGGAAAAATACAATCTATTGATAGACAAATATCAACAACAATCAGTATGGATGTACAACCTACTAATTCTGATCAATCACCAATATCAAATATACCTGTTCTTTCATCTATTGAACAATTATCTCTTCAATCGACAACTACATCAGTTACAGATAATCAGTCACAATCTATGCAAGTCGATGAAGTTTCAACATTGAAAACATTAACATCACCTGTTAAAACACATTCATCATCATCAAATTCATCTGCTACAGTACCATCTGAAACACTTGATGAAACAGTAACACCACCGCCACCACCACCGCCATCAAAATCAGCTGGTCGACCAACAAAAGCTCGTCAAAATAGTAATAAACGATCATCAGCTAAATCAAAAACAATAACACAAGCATCTCGTCAAAAACAAACAACTACTAATGAAAGAAAAGGTCGTTCACCAACAACAAGATCTAAATCATCGGGTACCTCAACAACTGTACAAACACGATCAAGTAATCGTCGTAATACAAAAACATCACGTTACCGTAAACGAAATTTTTCAAGTGGTAGTGATGATGATGAAACTGAAGAAGAAGATGATGATGGTGGTGATGATGATACAGATTTTACTGAAGAGGTATTTTCATATTTTTATTTTAATATGATAACATATAGCGTGAAAGTCTTAGCACAAAATATTTGCCATTGCTGGAAATACATTCAGATTTTTTGGTTTAGTGTTTTATTCAACATTCCTCTTTCGGAGAGACGATTTAAAACTCCAAGAGAACAAATATCTGTTTTTTTTGGAAGCACAGACACAGAGTGCATTCGGATGGATCGATTCGATATTCGGAGGAGCGCCGCTCCTCAGTCTCTGCATTAAATAAAATACTGTTTAGGTCAATTTTGTATTTAGATTGAGACCTATTACATTTAAGATGCGAAACAATTTTTAATGACTCAGTTTTGTAAAGCAAAGTTTGCTCTATAAAGCGTGCTATTTACTTTTACATGACAGATTTTAAACCTTTTATACCCTACAAAGCAGCTTTTGACTAATGCCGATTTCCATAGATGAGTTGTTGCTTATTGTAATGTTTCATTTTGTATAGAATTCAATGCTCTACAATAATATTAAGTTAAAGCTGTTTCAAGACATAAACTAAAGGCTACGATAAGATCGCTATTGTACTTTGTACAGACAGAATTTTGAAGTTTTTCACAAGATTTACTGCGGAAGGAAAACCTAAATATATATTCGGCAATAACAAAAAAAATTTTGATTCTGACTCTAACAACCAGTTGTCTTTTAGTGACCGAAAAATGAGCGAATATTTTATATCAAGACTTTCGCACTATAAGTTATAAACATAAGTTTTTTTTATTTTAAAGGATGATATGCACGATAACGAAAGAGAAGGTAGTCGTTCACCTACAGTTAAAACAAAATCATCTAAAACTACAAATGAGAAAAAAAATGAATCCGAACCTATAACAACAACAACAACAACTCCATCAACATCAACAATAACATCAGTTTCAACACAATCAAAAATTTCCGAACCATTATCATTACTTAGTGGACTTTCATCAAATCCTATGTCTGTTTCATCGATTATGAAATCAGATATTCCAACAAGTTTTATGCGTCCAAATTTTAATCAAACTTTTCCAACACCACCACAATTTTTACCATCAAATCATCCATTTTCACCCGGTTTTCCTTTACAAGCAAGGCTTCCAATGCCACCACCACCATCATCAACTATTTCTCAATCACAACCTGCATCTGTATCTGATACACATCGTTCATCTCATTCAACAAATGTTTCTGAAACAGATTCACTCGACCGTTCATTAAGTCCTTCACAAATGGATACATCAACAACTGTTGAATCAGGATCATCAACACGTTCAACAACAACAACAACTTCATCAACTAGTACTCAAAAATTATCTGCTCTTTCATCATTACTTGAATTTGGTACATTACCATCATCAAATCTTGGCGATATACGTCCAACTTGTCCTCCTACAAATCCTTTTCCATTTCCATTTGTTACTCCTGGTCCAGGTGTTCCATTTTCACCTCAAGCAGCAGCTGGTATGACTACTTATTATCGACCAACATTTAGTGTTCCACCACCACCAACGACAACAACATCACTCGATACAGCTCAACAATCTTCAACAATAACACTACCTCAACCAGTACCAAAATCAACTTCAACTCAATCAAAAAAAAAGAAATCCAATACTAAAACAAATTCAACTGAAGTTATTTCGCAAAATATTCTTGATGAACCATCACCGCCTAAAAAGAAAGTTCGTAAAACTAATCCACGTGGTAAAGGAAAAACAAAAAAGAATGAAAATGATGGTGAAAATGATGTTGATGAAGATAATTCATCACCAATACCACCACCATCAAAAACAACAACAGCAAATAAAAAGAAGAGAAGATTAAAGAAAGATACTAAAACTAATACAATTACAAATGATAATGATGAAACAAAACCAACGAATGGACCTACAAATAATACTTCGCATAATCTTCTTGCTCAAATGGGTCTCATTAATAATTCATTCATACCACCAACACCACCACCACCACCACCATCTTCATTACAATCGTCTTCCTCAACGAATGGTACAAATTCGACGCCAAATGCTCAACAACAGGCTCAAATAGCAGCTATGTACAATATGACACCACATTTTGCTGCTTATAATACATTTCCAGGTGCATTCAATCCAGCTTTTCCTGGTACTGCTTATCCAAGTGGTTATCCACCTCCATATGGTTTTCATCCAGCATTTGGTACTCCACCAACAACTCAACCATTTCCATTTATCCCATCAACATCTACATCAACTACATCTTCAATTACTAAGTATTTCATTTATATTTTCATATTCATTTAAATATTATTTTCTCATTATAGTACATCATTATCAACTCCTACGACGACGACATCACCATCGACAGGTGATAAAACAACAGCTATTGTTGTACCTGAAACACGACCAACAAAATCAAGAAGTAAAAGTAATACTGGTGGAGAAAGGAAAAAACCTGCTACTCCTCGAACAACGAAGAAAAAAGCAGCAGCTACGACTGTACCAGCACCAACAACTGACAATGAAACAACAGCAACAACAACAATACCATCAACTGAAACAATAAAGACTACTACAACATTAGAATCAACATCAACACCACCAACAACTAAACGACGAATTAGCGGTACAGAAAGTGAAGATTTTGATGAACAGAGTGATGAACAACAACAACAACAATCACAAACAACAAATGGTAAATCGGGTAATGAATCAGATGGTTCAATAGGTGCTGATCGTTCATTAAATACAATACAATCAACAGCTACTTCTTCATCTACAGCACCAGAAAAAAAAGGTGGACGTACGACAATAAAACCGCAACAATTAGAAGTAAGTTTCTCTTTCACGGTAATATGGTTTTTCTTTTACCTTTTCACTGTGTTTTTGTGTTTTAAGATTTTAAATAAAGCATTTGAATCATGTGCTAAACCAAATAAAACTCAACGCGAACAATTAGCTACTGATACTGGTCTTAATTTACGTGTTATTCAAGTAAATGCTTTTTTTTTTAATTCTTAAAGATATTGTCTTAAGAATTAATTTCTCTTTTTAATAAAAGGTTTGGTTTCAAAATAAACGATCGAAAGAACGTAAAGGAAAAATATCAAAAGAAAAAGAACCACCGTTAGATGATGATGAAGCAGGTGAAGATTCTCAACCATCTTCACCACAACCACCACCACTGCCCCCACCACCACTACCACCAGAACCTGAAACGGCACCTGCATCTGCACAGGAATCTGCTCCTGAACCAACACCAGTCACTACAAGTGAAACGTAAAGTCAAAAATAAATTCTTCTATAAATAAGTGCCTTGTGACAAAAGAAATAATCAAAAGAAAATTTTCCTTTTCACATTGTAAATTTTAACTCTCATTTGCGTGCAATCGTTGTTTTTTTTTTATTGTGCCTCTCATTTTCTTTTGCTGATATTGAATATCGATCTGACATATTTCTTTTCTTTTAATCTTATTTAAATATGACTCATATTTATGTTGTTCGTATGTGTATGTGTGTGTTTATGTAACAGACTGATACTTGTATTTTAAATATTTTAAGACATAGCAAAAACTTTTTTTGTGTTTTAGTGTAGAAAAAACAAAAGAAAATACAACCATAGTTCGAAAGGAGAAAAAAAAGTTATTATTTAGTCATTTTTGATCTGATACCATATTCATCATTTTTGTTTTTTTTTGCCTAAGTATGTATATTATTATTATTTTTTTTTTTGTTGTTTTAATGTCTTTAACATTTTAATTTGTCTTGTATTATCAAATATTGTCTTCTGTAAAAGAAAAAAAAAACAAGAAACCTTTTTTTGTGTATGTGTGTTTTGTCTGTTTTATTATATAACAATTTAACTAAATTCTATATTGATTTAATTTTATTAATCATTGTTTTAATTGTTCATTATCATGACCATGATGATGATCATGATCATGATCATGTGGATCAAGTAATGGTACATCTTTGATAAATATACTTGCTCGTCGTTTTGAAGCACTAACATTAAATATAGCAAAACGAAAATATCGTTCCATTTCTTCACGTATTGATATCTAAATCAAGAAAATTAACATTAGTTTTTCTTTTGTAATTAACGACATCTTATAAGTACCGGGTTGTGCATAACCTTTTGCTAGGAGCGGATAGCGCTATGATTTCAAATTAAATACCTAATGAATTTTATACCAAATTAAAGACCGTCAAAAACTGGATTCATTAGTACTAAATAGTAAGAGTTATCAAAATATTTTAATGTCGAACTTACGAAATTTTCGAAAATTTTATGCTTTTTTTAGCATAGAAAATTAGGGCATCAGTAGTTTGTTATAGGGAAGAAAAACACTCGATTTTCTCAATAAAATTAGTTTTTTCATTATTTTCACTCATAAAGATGCTTCGAGATATACTCATTAGACGCAATTTTTCATGTTGCATCGGATGAGTATATTTCGAAGCGTCTTTGTAAGTAAAAATAATGAAAAAAGTTAAGTTTATCGAAGAAATCGAGTGTTCTTCTTCCATATAAAAAAACCGAGTTTTTAAAGATTTTTTAGGATTTTACAAGTCATTTTTTAGATTTTTTATCTCAGAAAAATGGCTCAAGAAACTTTTAATATATATAGTTTTGTAGAGCTCGACGGGCCTTATCGAACCATGTAAAAATACCAAAAGAAAATATTTTACTCTATATTTGAATTGCTGATGCCCTAATTTTCAATGTTAAAAAAAGCATAAAATTTTCGAAAATTTCGTAAGTTCGACACTAAAGTATTTTGATAACTCTTATTATTTAGTACTAATGAATCTAGTTTTTGACGGTCTTTAATTTGGTATAAAATTCATTAGGTATTTAACTTGAAATCATAGCGCTACCCGTCCCTAGAAAAAGGTTATGCACAACCCGGTACTTGGAATTCCTTCTAGAATTGTTTATGTACAATATTTTAACGCCTTGAATTTATATATAGATATATATAATCCATGGATTCAACAAAAGAAACTCATAGGTGAATGGTATTTCGAATTAACCATTTACCTCTCATAGTAATTGCAGATGAGTCACTGATGAAACAATCATTGAAATAGAATATTGGTATCTTTGATATATTGATAGTATGGAAAGATCAATCAGATGCATTGTCATTTACGACGGCAATTTTATCACTCTAGTCTAGAGTTCGACGGTTCCTGTTCGATTCCCAAAATATTATGTGGAATCGAAACCGTTAAAGCATTGGATGGATTCGAAAATTTTAAATTGATTTTTGAGAAATTTCCACTATTGAATTGTTGAGATTAAAGGACTCCACATATTTCAGTACTTAAACAAAACAATATTATACATAATAAGTAGATGTTAATTCTAAACTTTTTGCACCTGAATGACATCATAAGAAGCCTTAAAGAGATCCTAGGATTATAGAGCATAAAATTCTCTATCGATTGATGTTAAATACTTTACATTTAACATTGAACTTGATGAGCATAAACTTGTACAAATTGTTAAAGGATTACAGAAAACAGCAGGGAATCACAGTTAGATAACGCAGCAGCCGTCAATCTTTTCAATTTTTCGTCAACAAGAAAAATTTATTTAAAAACAGATATTCACATTGTTGTAGAGCGAAAATTTCTCTACCGAATGAGTTTAGAATGGTGCCTTTGAACAATGTTTTCATCCTTTAAAAAACAGAAAATCAAATTGTCCTATTATTAATAGGCTACTTGTTATATACTGAAATTTTTAATCTCAAGAAAGAAAAAAGAAATAAAGATTTTTCGACATAGATTTAAGAATTTTAGTATCTATCTGATGATATAACAGTTACAGTTTTTTAGAAACAACGAACTCTACTCTAGTGACCATTGTGGGAAGAACGACTTGACATAAATTCTATCTAAGACCTTGCATAAATATAATGTAGTTCAATGAAAAAACATTGTAGAAAAGTTCGGGAATATCTTATTTTGTAGAGAATAATTTATTATACTAGTTCATGTAATGTGAACAAATTTTATGCCTGAATCGTAGGCGATGAAAAGTATCTTACGAGATAGTAAAGACTTAAAAGGAAGTTCTATGAAACTCCTTTTTTTTTCTTTCTTTCTTACTTGTCGTCCTTTTCTATTGCGTATTTTAATACTAAATTCAACAGCAGCAACAATCATTGAAAGTATTAATCCAGCAGCAAGTATTACAAATATACCACCAATATTAGCAAAACCTAATTCAGATGCTGTATCTTTTCGTTTATCTTCTGGATCACATTTTAATTTAGCTGCTTCTTTCCACCATTTATTATAATATTTTTGTATAACACCTTCATCTTGTAATTTAAGAATTGTATCACTTAATATATCACGATAAGGTGAATCTTATTTAAAACAAAAAACAAAAGTCTAATATTGAAATATATTAATATAGATTCAATCTTTACTTTGTGGTACACCAAAACCATAACCTTTTGAATCAAGTAAACCACCAATGGATGTTAACTCACAATTTCTCATTATATTATATTCACTAGTCGTTGATCTATATTAATATAGAGAATAATGATTAATTTAAAATATAAAATTTATTAACATACTCAATAAGAAAAGCATATTTGCCTTTTAATACTCTCTGAATACCTTCCGTACTGGATGCAACAGTAACATGTGCTTGATTTGCTAATATATAATTCCACATTCGTTCATACGTTGGTATTTTCGATTCCTAATTAAACAAAAGAAAAACAAGTGAAGGTTATAATACGTCATTGTAAATGCAATTAACCTTGATGAAAACAACACATTATTAGAATACTGACTATCTATCGATTAGTTATCTTATCTAGCTTGAATATATATTATTACAAGGTGACTAAAACTTTCCGTCTAACGAGAAATTCTGTTTGTAGATATTATCGAGAAAAAAGCTTTCAAATCTTGATAAGTTCCATAGACTATGCCTCAACTCTGAAGACTAATTCTTTGTATATGAGCTGGTGTCACATAATATCATATTTTATCATGTTCAATAGATTTGTGACTGTTTCATTCAGAACTATATTGTGAAATTGTACAAGTGTGCTGAAGTGGAACTGTCAAAAACGTAGTGCTAATAAGAGAAGTTTCTCAACTAATTGATTGCTTTTGATTCGAAGCTATTACATCATGTAGATTCTAATTGAGCTACGAATATCCTCAAAAAGAAGTTGAGCCTTTCGCTTATTGCTGCATTTTTACGGTATCTTTTTTGAGTCAATACGGTAGTCCTCCTCCGAAACACTAGGAAAATTAATTTTCAAATTTCGATTTGAAATTTAATACACAGACATGATTTGATGAGAATAGCTCATTGTGAAAATTTTAAGTCTTTTGATTTGTTCCTTGTCTGAACTAAGAATATCGGATCTGCTGGTATATATGAGCAATGTAAAAGACAAGCTCTCATCATAACTGTATCTTAGGATAGAAAAATTGAAATGATTTGAAATTTTCACAATAAACTATTCTCATTAAGTTCTGCCTCTATGGACAATTACAATTCGAAATTCGAAAATGAGTTTTCTTGAGGAGATAACGGCATTGACTTAAACTATACTGTCAAAATATAATATCTTGGCAACAATAAATTAAGGTTCCGAGCTCTTCTCCAAGTATCCATAACTCATTAGAGTCTACATGATACATATCATCTTGACTGAAAATCGATTAATCACTTGGGGAACTTCCCTGGCAAGACAAAATCCAATGTAAAATAATCCATATTATATGAAAAGAAATGAGTATTCAATCCAGCTCATATTAGAAAAGCTGTTAACTAGGTTTGTTTTATTCAATTCTTGCGATACATTGAGCTGGATATTATCACGCACACACACACACACACACATACCTATCATTAATCTAAAAAATATCAATTCTTGTCGCTTTCCAATAGAAAAATTTTGCTTAAATCAACAAGCAAATTATTTTTTAGCTCTTTGTATATTCATACTCGAAAAAAGTTTTCTGTTGAACCACCTCGCTGAACTCCATAAGCAATTTCTGTTTGTTGTGCAAGATCGTCAGCATTTTCAATTGGTGTTTGCATACGTTGTACGGTCAAAAAAGCAGCTAAAATATTACTCAATAAATCCATTAAGAAAATCATTGTCTTTTATTTTTGTTACTAACCCAAATTAGCCGTATATGATGAGACAAGAATTAAAGTAAAAAATGACCATAAACAACTAATCATACGTGTTGATGGTGCTGTTGGAGTTAAATCAGTACCTATTTATTAAA